TTAATCCTCTATCCCTTCCCACCCCCACCCTCTCCTGATTTCAGTCTTCATCGGATCTTATTCCCATTCCGTTGTCCCCGAAGGTTTGGATGTGAGATCATACATGACCCTGGATATGCCGGGGACTGTGAGAATCTGTTCCACCATTTGATTCACCATCTGCAACAGATAACATGCAAAACATCTCAATATTGCTGGGTTGACCTTTTTGGTAAACAAAAAATATGCATTACCCCTCTCTTTCTCTGTTAATCTATTTTCACTGTTACAACTTACAACATATGACAAACATTAAAACAGTCAAAGAGCAGAAAATAGCTGAATAAAAATTTGTCAGAAATGAACATTATACGATGAGTTGGATAAAAAAATTCAACCTCTTTAGACAAATCTTGCCCTGGCACAGCCGCCACGCCAGTCATGAAGTCATTGGTGATGAACGTCCTGATGGCCACGGATCTTTGGCAAGATGGCACGGTCCCCATGGGGTCGCGGTCGAAGTGAAGCGGGACCAGAACCACGGGCATTTGACTGAGTTTGGGAGTGTAACCAGATTCATGAAGTACCTGATTTGTGGTAAAATGGATATTAATAGTTATAATCAATTTAAAAATGATAATTTGTTCATTTCAAAATTTCAAGCAAGATGTAATGTTCATTCTGCATATATACAAAAGAATATTCCGAAGACATATCAGAATTGACTAAATTTATTATGATTAAAATTGTTAAGTTAACATACTTAAAAGTATAAATTTCACCAATATTTTAAAATGCAAAAGGAGCATATAGTAAACATTCCATAAATTATAGCAAATTACTTTTTATTAAAAAATACTGAAGAGCAAGACAATTGGTTCTTATCAGAAAGTTGGATCTTTTGTTTATTAAACTAAAAAGTATGACTTCTGAAAACTTGGATCTTTTGTTTATTAAACTAAAAAGTATGACTTCTGAAAACTTATGTTTTTTCTTTCAATGATCCTTAAGCAATTATCATAACATAAATAGAATCTACTCCTGCATCAGAAGTCAAGACAGTAAGAAGATTTTAACCTAAAAACAGTAATTCATTGACTGAGACAGCAAAAAGGAAGCAAAAGCTCTTTGGACAACTGAAATCAATGAATAAGTTTTCAAATTATTAAATTAAATATGACCAGAATTCATAGGGACAAACCTTATGTGCTAGATAATCTGCCTGTCTTAGTGTCGCTAATACTCCTTCTGTCAGGAAAGTGGGCGTGACGTCTTGTATCGGATAATGTAGGAGTCCTCCAAACACGTACACAACCCTGAAAGGAAGTGCAAGTTAGTTAAAATAACAGTGACAATGTAAGTCTTGTCTAAAGGAATTAATTATTTTTTTTAATCAAAGAGGCCTGATGTTTGGACCCTTCATTTTGATCACTCTACTGACTTGCTCGATGTGAGCCCTAAAAGTCATGACATACTTCTTTTTCTGCGATTATAATGCAAGAAACATAAGAATACCTATTACATCACTGCTGTTTGTTTAATTACTTTGGGACCTTGTTCATAAAAGGCCCCATCTTAATACATCTTTAAAATTTACAAAGTAAGGGTACTACCTTAAATGTAAT